CACCAATGACACCGCGCTGGACTGGTAGAACGATGGGTCGGCCAGACGAAAATTGCCAAACTGGCTGGTGATCCGTGCGTCCAGCGTGAGAGCGGGGGTTATCCGGTAGAGTCCTGGTATTACGACTGCACAGACTCTGGGGTAACAGCTGAAGACGACGTGCTAGGTGAAGCGATATTGTCGACTTGGGCTGCGCTGGATCGACGATGGCGCGCACTACTTGCGTTCTCCCTCGGGACCTTATCTTAACCGCTACTGTGGGTATGAGGACAGAGAGCCCAGGAGCGCTCCGGGCCGTGCCCGTAATCCGCTCTCGGGCGTCTCTAACATCACGGCGGTGGGGTTGTTGCTGGAATCGCCGTGGGTGTCGGTGTGTGTTTCGGCGCTTCGACCTCGTTGCTGGGGCTCGCTGCACTGCCGCCCGTACACCCGACAGAGCAGGTCTGAATCCCGGCGGCGCGTTGGGGTGGAAACATCATCTCCAGTACCCCGCCTTCATCGCTCGATTCTCTCTCTCTGACGTATTTCTAGCTCGTGCAATCCCAGTGACACGTCTTCCTCGTCCCGGGGTGCAACGCCCAGGTGGAGGAGGCTATAGTGCCGGTCCCGGCAATGCTCGCAGCTCCGGGAAGATGCACAATTTTTCGCCGTGTGATGCGGCGACAGGCAGTTGGCGCAGTGGCGGTGCCCGAGGACAGCACGCAGTCTCTCGGCCGGTTCCATCCTGAGCATCTCGCGACAAAAGGCCAGGCGGTGGTTGCTGTGGCACACTAGGCAGCGGTATTGGCCCTTGTGAGGTTGGGGTTGGTTTTGGTGGCACGTACCATTTTGCGTTATTGAGTTCTGTAAAGAGATATACGATTATTATTTTGCTTTATCAATTTGGCAAAAGTACCAATTTTACACTTGGTCGAGTTATGATTCCGCAAGCCGTTCGTATTACTACGACTTGTACTCGGCTGTCCTGACCTGATAAGACTTTAATGACTCTGCCAAGTCGCCATTCATTTGGGGGAAGGTTATCGTATTTTACGACGACTAGATCGAACTAGATAGAACTTCGAGTTTTCGTTGGGGGCAGTTCCAGTTCACTCTCTTCTGCAATTCCTTCAGGTATTCGGCTTTCCACCTTCCGCAAAATGTGTGGTGAATCGCTTTTATCTTTTGCCACCGGTTGACAATAGCCATTGGGTTCTCCTTAATTTCGGGTTCAGAGATTGCCAGTAGCGGGGTGCCAATTAAGAAGTGTCCGGGGGTTAGAGGTTCCATTGATTCCGAGTCTTCAGAGATGGGGCTGATTGGTCGTGAATTAAGACAAGATTCGATTTTTGCCAAAAGTGTGGAGAGCTCCTCAATGGTAAAACGTTGTTCGCTACCTTCCTGAAATGCATCTTGAAGCTTTGTACCCCCGCTCCCCAGAGCCCTCCCATTTGAGGTGCTCCTGGAGGTATAAAATGCCACGTAATGCCCTGATGAGCGTATGTCTGGGTTGTGCTGTTGGCCGCTGCAGAGACAAAGAGTTTAAAATCCTGTTGCAATGCGTTATTCTTCCCTACAAAGTTGGTTCCACTGTCCGAATACATATTCTGCGGGCAGCCGCGTCTGGACACGAAGCGCAAAAGAGCCTCCACGTGTATTACCTGTGTCGCAAAACAGACAAAAACGCAGACATAGCCCTTGGTAATGCGACACCCGTGAAACTCCTTATCTCAAAGGGACCGGTGAAGTCGACTCCAGTGTTGGTTAAGGGTCTGGGTATCTCAGTTCGTTCCGGTGGTAACGCTGCCATCAACTGCTCCCGCGCCTTCTTTCTGTAAATAACACAGACCTTACAGTTGTGAATTGAATTTTTAATCAAGTTTTTCCTTCACACTATCCAGTATTCGAACCGAAAAATTCTTAACATAAGATGGTTTCCTCCATGCAAGGAAATCAGATATGTGAATTTTATGAGCAATCTTGAGTACTGACAGTCTTACGGGAGAATTATTGGATACCGTTCACTGTAAGGTAGGTTCGTTAACGTCAGTCGTCCTCCTACCCTCATAACTCCGTCCCTGTCGAGGAAGGGGTTGAGAGCGCGAAGTGAACTTTTCGCGTTGATTGGCGTTGAAGCGTTGATGGCCCCGTAGTCATCTGCGTAGTGACGCCTCTGTGCGATAACGATGAGACGACATTTTACCTGCTTTATTTCATCGGCGGTTATTTCGTCTGCCTCGTCACTAGCGGCCAACTTATGCACTGGATTAGTTTTTCGAAAAAATTGGAAAATTCGCGCAATCACTCTCATGACTCGCGAGAAGTCTGAAAACCGCTCCAGAATGTCCATTTTTATTGGTTTGGTAGGGCCAGGTAGCTGAATCTTGCTCCAAACACTTAAGTCCATACCACCAAAGAGTGCTTGAGAGTAGATTCTGGAGGGACAAGCCTCGGCTGCCAAGATCCGCTGGATTATCCGCAGATTCCACATGATTCCACCCGGATACTCCAACCAGTTCATCAATTTTTGCGACTCTGTTAGCCACAAACGTTGTCCGTGTACATGCTGGTTTTCAGAGCCATGAGAGTACGATCGTGGAGTCGGTCCATTTGTATATTACAGGCTGCGTGACTTTAAACTAAGGAATAAAGGTATAAATTAGTTCGGCCAGTAATAATGCTCCGCAGAGCTCTAACCTGGGGAGGGACACCGTTTTTACTGGTGCTACTTTTGTTTTACCCACCAGCAAGTTTATGTGGGGTGAATTATTTGAAGAGCGCTCGCGTACCCTGATATATAAAGCGGCTGCGTATGCCTTTTCCGAGGCATCGCAGAATCCATTGAATTGTACTTCGCCCCACGGCGTAAAATGGGTCCATCGGGGGATTTTTATCTTCTGAATATGCTCATAATTATCCAGAAAGTTTTCCCAACGTAGCAGCAAATTTCGGGGTAGACTGTCATCCCAGTCTATTTTGGTTAGCCAGATCTCCTGCATGAACATCTTTGCTACCACTACAATTGGTCCGAGCCATCCCGTAGGACAAAACCTCTCGTTTGGTATACTCCTGTTTCCTGGGGATCGGCTGTAGGGTGAAGTGACACATGTCATGTACCGCATTCGTATTTCGTATTTCTTTATTCAGTCTATGATTAACAAGAATCTTACAGACTAGATACAAACAAAAGTGTCTAATACAATTTAAAAAATTAACTTACAACAAGGAAAATAAAAGATTCTTAAGGCAAAGCCGAGTTAAGGAAAAATCAATACAATGGTTATTATTTAACGTATAAATATCAATTAGCGTACGTGTGATTGGCCCATTCAATGCATAATTGGACTTAAAATTGTCAATGGCAAACATATTATGCCGACGCAGATTCTTAAAGCTCAGTTAGTCAACGACGTAGCGTAAACGTAGGTTGACGTACGTATCAGCATATAAAATTTACTGTTGATAGAGAGAGGGAAGCAACGGCAACGTCACCGCCATGCGGTGGTGAGTTTTCGTTAACACGCGAATCCCATAAGCTAGATCGTGTCTGCGTCAACCTACGTCTACGCTACGTCGTTGACTGTTTGCGCTTTTAAGCTCAATGACGATTTGACGATTTTTCCTTCGTAATCACGATTTTTTATTTCAGTTTTTCCACTAAATTCATATGTATGTATATAGAAAATTTGTTACAGGAAAACGTAATACAAAATACAACCGTGCATTTATCTAGTTTTGTTCTACAACCGTGCTTTTAGTTATATTAAATTTGTTCTAGAATTGTAACCAAATAGTTAATTTGCGCTGATTTCAAAGAGACAGAAAAGTAGGAGAGCGAATTTGTTCAGTCAAAATTATCCATCAGTTAAGGGCCGTTTACATAAGACTTTTGCTTTGCTTTTCTTCATAATTTCGCTTTGACAGATAAGTTCAGTACATGATTTTATATGAGTATTGCTAAATAGAATGCGAGGAAAGCAAAGCGAATGCATATTATTATAGTGTTATCTATTTTACAGAGATAAAATATGGAGGGAAAGGAGAACGCAGAAGCTGTCAAAGCGTTTATTGTAGCATACCTTCTACGCTTCACGCTTTGTTTTCAAAGTTCGAACTGTCAAGCAAAGCGAGGAAAGTCTTATGTAAACGGCCCTTTAGTAAATGCTAATGTTACACTAAGGGTCTTCACATCCATTTTGATAGTTTTGGTAAATTGCTGGTTGACACTCGGTAATTATATCAACTCAGAACGTCGTTTTCAGTTTTCTTTTGTTAGTCTGGTAAACTATGTTTATCAACAGCCGATTCATAGCTTTTTTCCTAAAAAAACAAATAAATTGTAATAGAAAATTTAAGGAATTGTACTTACTCATATGCGTTATGCCTTTCGGCAGCGGGCAGATTTAAAATTGAATAAATATCGAACAGCTTCCTTCACGATAATTCGGTAACCGGTACACCGATAATAAAATAATTTTACACAAACAAAATACACAAACGAGTACCAAGCTTGGTGTGAAGTCCCCTACTTTAAAACTGGATCAAAATCTTCAAATTAGTGAATCCCCCCTCAAACTCGAACAATGCATCACACGCTAGCGAAAAATCATTAACGTTGGCCATATTTGAAAATTAATTTAATTAAAACGAAAAATTTAAAAACAAACATGTTGTACCACAGAACCCCGGGCGAAATTACAATTTATACGAATTATAACCAACGACGAAAAAGATACTAAAGTAACGTGCTATCGCAATAAAAAGTCGTGGAACAAGTGTATAGAAAAATAACTTCCTTTTAGTTAATATATACAAACTATATTCAATTTAAATTTTATTTATTAATTCCAACAAAAAGCCTTATTATGGCTCGCGAAATTCCACGGGTTATTTGCACCAAGCTTATATCAAACAGTTTCGCTCAGTGTACCGCTCAACCTGAGCGATTCTTAAGCGAAAAAAAATCTATGTAATGTGGTCCGTATACGGGCCTTCAGTCTGAACCGCTTCTGCTCAATATTTTAAGAATCACGTCAAACACTTTAATATTACGTTTCCACCAAAGTGAAACCCTGGGTTTGCAGGTTTTGGGTTTGAGAGAGTTGTCAACTGTTTCGACTGCGTGTTTGATCAAAATTGTGTTGAAACTGTCATTCGTTTGTTTACTTTTCTATCGCCACGTGCTACAATTCTTAAATGGTGCCTAAAATTAAAATCGTTATATTGATTTTGTCATTTTATTTTAAAATAATAGATAGTGAGGTGACGACATATTATTTAAAAAAGAAGATAAGAGAAAATAAAATGCTTTTGTCTATTGCTGCCAATTTACTGGACCCAACAATAGTGCGTTCACAAAGTGTCTGGTGTTTGGTATGTTAGCAATTTGAAGATACAAATTTTGGTTTATAATGAATATATTTTAGGAACATTCCAGTACCTTTTGGGAAGTAGACTGCCAGAAGAATGGCTCTAAGTTTTTCAAAGAGAATTTCCGGATGAATAGATCCAGCTTTGACGAATTATGTAGTCTCCTAAAAAAAATAACCAAAAAGGACACAAATTATCGGGATGCAATTCCACTAGAAAAGCGCGTTGCAATTGCTCTTTATGCATTAGGATCTTCTAGTGAATATAGGTCAATTGCACACTTGTTTGGAGTAGGCAAAGCTACTGTTTGCAAAATATTTATTGAGTTTTGCAATGAAGTTTGGGCAAGTTTGGCGCCAATTTATTTAAACAATTTTCCCCTTAAAAGGTCGCAAATTGAGCAAGGAGTTGCAGATTTCAATGCAATGGGTTATCCACAATGTATTGGAGCTATAGGTAGGCTTAAAAGTAATGCGATGGAAAAGAACTTTTATCAGAAACGGTTTTATAATACAGATGGATGTCATATAGAGATACACCCAAAAAAAGAAGAAGCCATTGATTATCACAACTACAAAGGGTGGTATTCAGTCGTACTGTTGGCTTTAGTAGACGCAAAATATAGATTCAGTTATATCCATTGCGGCAGCCCAGGAAGGTGCAATGATTCCTCAATTTTTGAAAAGTCGTCTCTAACACGTNTACAAAGGGTGGTATTCAGTCGTACTGTTGGCTTTAGTAGACGCAAAATATAGATTCAGTTATATCCATTGCGGCAGCCCAGGAAGGTGCAATGATTCCTCAATTTTTGAAAAGTCGTCTCTAAAACGGGAGCTGCAGGAATGCGCACTCCTTGATGAATTGAGCTGGCAGTATGGATCCACAAAAATACCAGTGCACGTTATAGGTGACTCAGCCTTTCGCCTATCTCAGCATTTAATGAAGCCATACCCGCATAGCGTAAACAACACACCTGAACAACAAAAATTCAACTATAGATTATCCAAGTGTCGACGTGTTGTGGAAAATGCTTTTGACCATTTAAAAGCCAGGTGAATACAAAGACACGTTCTTGTCTCTTTCCAACATGGTTAAATTTGTATGCTATTTTAGATTTAGAAGAATTGGAAAAGGCGTGGATAATCACATAAAAAATGCAAACACTGTGATTTGTGCTGCATGCGTTTTACACAATTTTTTAATTGCACAGAAGGACTCTATCGTAGAGAATTGGGTAGTAGAAATGCAACGAGATAGCAGGTGCAACCCGCAATGCAGCAACAACCAAAGTGATCGATCTGAAGGAGAATTGATAAGAAATTCTTTAAAGGAATATTTCCGTAAGTATATTTTTTAAAAAATTGTTTTACTTACATAATGTCTAAATGCTTTTGTCAAAAAGCAGATAATCGTACCTTTCTTACGATATACATAACTTTAAGGTTTGACTATGTATTATATGCACCAAAATTATTATTTTTTTTTCAGAAACTTCAAATGAAAGGTATTTTAATTACTGGTGTACTAATTTTTCCAATTGGTCAATTAGTTTTTGAAATACTCCATTTTTTATAAATTTAAAATCTGAGATTTAACCCTCAATATGTTCTTTTTTAACACGGTTTTATTCAGCACAAAAAATTCTATCAAGCCTTGCTTCTAGTTTTTTTACGCCGGCATTTTTCGGCGGTATTTTTCACTTCTGCCATGAATCATCAGGGTCGAATTACAATATATGCTTCTACTTTATGCTTTAATCTGAATTTTTAGAAAAATTTTGAGTACGCAGATAGATTGTTTCTTTAATTCTAGTAAAACAAGAGCAAGTTTTAAGCGGCTAAAAAATCGCATTGATTTTTAATGAATTTTTTATTGCTGACGGCTTTTTGTACTTTTTACCATATAAAAGAAAATTTCTTGTAGCCAAAAGGTCAAAATTTTTACGAAAATTCATTGAATTTTTCTAAGTTCTGTATAAAGTTTGAAAGCTTGACTTATGTGATTTTTATTAAAGCATGAACCATATTTATAAAAAAATAACAAAAAAATGTTAACTTAAAAACATTGTTAATATTAAACACAAAACACTATGTACTCACTTTTGATTGCCAGTGTACATATAATTCTTCCATATAACGCATGAACGAAATGCTGAAACTAGCACTTTTTTGTACTAAAATTGAACGGGATACAATACAATATTATTTTGAATTTTGCTACTATCCGCAACTGTATATAAAATTTGCTTTCATTCATGAAAGCCAAAGAGATCGGGTTTTTAGTTAACTAAAATAATATACATATCAAGGTGTATTTAACAAGGTGGTGTTAGCCGTATATAATTAAAAAATTACACTAACAAATTATACGCAGAAATTCATACTGTCATTGGTATGAATTACAACAAACCCATCATTTTGGCGTAATGCTTTTCAAGGCGAAAAATTCAGCTGCCACCCCAACACCACCTTGTGAAATACACCTTGATACATATGAAGACACTATGAGTGCACCAGCGATTTTTAATTAGTTTCGCTCCAAGAAGCTAACGACGCTTTGGGACAATATCTCGATTGCAGCTACCTTTTTCTTCTCAATTTCAATCAGGTCTGCAGTTAATTTATTGTTTTCTGCCATGGCTGTTTTAATGGTTTCGTTTAACTCGCTTATTTTCTGATTTTTTATTTTTGTTGCAGGTGTGGAGACTTCGCTGAGGGCTGGAAACGATGATGCCGAAAATGTAGGGGACGAATCAACTGGAAGTGAAGAGCATGAAGGCGAAATTGGCGACGTAGGCGGCATTGCTATACAACAATAAAAATTGTAAAACCCTCTTAATTAGTAATAATTAATATACATAAATAAAATTACCTGTTATACTATCCACCACGACAGCATCAACATTATTTATTCGGTCGTTTCCTATAATGCGATGCACTCTTTCATAATGCTTCCAAGTAGCAGGAGAGCACCCGGTTCCTTGGCCTGCTTTGCATTTTCTGCAAAAGACAATTCACAGCATTACTAAAATGAATACATACTTATAAGTATGTATGGGAAATGTTTAGTTATTTGTACAACGATTTTGTGGTCTACGGAGTCCAGGCTTTCAGAAAATGTATCCTTCCCCTCTTAGACCCTCTACGGAACCCCCGGGGGCCCATTTCAAACTGTGGTAAAATTGGCATTTCAGTATAGAAAATGTAAACTCTGGTTATGCTGCCCACAGTATTTTTGCGCAGAACACCTTGCACATTGGCGTCGTTGGACCGCGTCCGAATGGGTGACCTGATCTAAAGTATTTTTACATACACTTATAGTCGAGGGTCTAAACTTATTTAAAAACCAAATTTTGTAATTTTCGGTCTCTAATTTATTAGTAAATTTGATCTGAAATATGCACTTTTTTATGAATTTTGGAGTGAGTTATACGCAAAAATACTGTGGATGTCGCAGCCGGAGTATATGCACAAGTAATGTTGTATACCTTCGACAATACAAGAGGCGCTTCCAAAACGGAAAGGTGTTCTGCACAAAAATATCGTTTACCGAGTTTATATTTCCGGCGTGAAAATGCTAATTTTATACCATCTTCCAATGGTTCCCCAGTAGTCTGTGAGAGGTTTCGAGGGGCAAGTGTGACTTTTTACAAAGCTTGAGCTGTGCTCTTTCTATTGGGTTGGATATCAAGAGCGACGCCCGCTCCCCTTCCGCCCACTAATCCAAAAACAGTTGGGAAATAACTAAACATTCCCCCGGGGGCGGAAGTCCTCACATCAATATCATTTTACAAATAACTACACCGTACCCACACGTATATCACATTTCTTACGTATATTTCATAGTAAAATAATGTATTTTATATTTCACATCAATTGGGCGGATTCCGGCCGCGAAAGCTGCCAGCGACTGCGCCATTTCCGCATAAATGTGCGAATTCTTTCGCGGACCGCGTAGTTCGCTTGCTTTTTCCTCCCACAAATCAACGAAGGCGTCATCCGCTGCTGGTAACCAAGTAGCTTTAGTTTTTTTTATTATTTTCCATCTTTATACTATTTACATATGTAGTTTAAAATATTTATAAATTTAAGACGCCGGCAGTCAATTGAGAAAATGAAATTGACATGATATTGACAGCTGCAAAACATTGTTGCCATGTTTCGATAAGAATGAAACAACAAAAGAGAAAAAATCCCGTAAATGAACACTATTGCCATCATTAAATATTAAAATACAAACAAACCCAACATAAACACGCTGTGAAAGATGGGTTTGAAGTGAGTTTGGGTTATGATATTTGTATGGGATTTGACAAGTGTTTTGACTGGTGTTTGCGATTAAACACGCTAGCGGCAGCAAACCCAGGGTTTGCCTCTTGGTGGAAACGTAATATAAAGGTAGCGAGGTATAAAACTTAAAACTGACAACCGTAGGAAAACTCAGAAATATTTTGTATAAAAAGTCTTTATTTAATTTGTAGAAGAACAAAAAAGCTGTATTTTATTCGAACAAAATGTAATAATTGTTGTTGTCGAAACTTCGACAACTTAATTGGATATTTTCGCAAAACACAAAAACACTTTTACTTTATTCATTTTTTTTCCCTATCAAAAAAAAAATAACGGTGTGTGGATATGGTATTCCAAAGGAAATCCCGCTATTCCTCCACCACTTTACCGGTCGAATTTCGCGAAAGACGGTTTTTACGTACCCCGATACTGTTTAATTTTCGGAAATATATATACGTATTAAAAGAAATATATATATATGGAAGGGGTGGCTAAGGTACACACGCACAACCTTTCCCAATTTCCGCACCCCTTTCCCAGTCGTTTTTCGCGAATATACGTGACAAATTGAAAGGCTTACTTTATCTTGCAGCTTACTCTGTTGGCAGCTAATCGGGGCTGTGCTCCCGCGATGGGCCACTTGGTGGGGCCTTGTTGGTTATTGCTCCCGCGGTGGGCCGCTTGGTGGGGGCCTCGTTGTTGCGTATTTTTCCCGCGGTAGGCCACTTGTGGGCCATGCTGTGGCATATTTTACTCGCGGTGGGCGGCTTTGTGGGGGCCTTGTGGAGGGCTCCTGGCTGGGGCCTTGTACTTGGTGATTGCTCCCGCGGTGGACCACTGGTGGGTGCATGGTTTCGCACTGAACACCTGACTGTGTGGCACCTAGGGCCGGTGTTCAGCACTTTCGCCTTCTTAGTGGCAATACAGCGGCGCTCTTAAAAACTATCGGCCTGGGTAGGGGCCGTGCAGCAAGGCGCACTGAAGCCTAACTGTGTGGCACCTATTTCCGGCGTACAGCACTTGCGCCTCGACAATTTTGCAAAACAGCCGGCGCTACTTTTAACCTTACTGCACTTCACTTTCACTACACTGTTTTCACTTACCGCCGGAGCTCCCTATTGCCGCTATTGCTGCTGGAGCGCTGGCGTTCTTTGCGGTTCTGCTGCCGGAGCGCTGGTGAAACTACTGCCTTGGCTTTCGCAATTGCTTTAACAATTGTTAGCTGCTACGTTTATACAAATAAACACAATTAGTATTCCAAATCTTCTTACTATTTCAGATCCTTATTTCAACTCTGTTTACGCTAGCCCCCTTCACCTTAAGTATGTTCATGAATTAGAGAATTTAACTTGTAGATGTCGCTGTGATCTAAGCGGGAAAAGTTACTCGTTACTCGAGTTCCTTTTTCTCGAGTCCTGTTACGCGCCTCGGATGTTGGGTTTCGCCTTCTGCGATCACCCAACACTCTGCCACTTTGGAAGAGAACTCCGAGCAATCAAGTAAGATTTTCTAATCTTTAATCCATTTTATATACTTCTATTGCAGCATTTTTTTTTTATACTTATATATGTACTAGCTTATACCCGCGGGTTTCACCCCGCGCTTTTATACGAATATAAAAAATAATTTAATGATGTTAGATTTTATTTCTGTGCCCATTTCGTTATAGCTCGTTATTTTTTAAGCGAGTTAAGGTATTTAGGCCGTTTAAAACTATGAAATTATAAAATCTCGTCTGCGCGCTAGGCATACGAAAGATATCAATCTCTCTAAGTTTACCTTAAAATGGTTCCAGGTATACGACGCTTGAACATGTAACCTTCTTGGAGGTGCCACGGCGGGTTCTAATATTTCCAACTCAAATTCAGTAACCTGCCTTGATAAAATACCACTTCTCATTACTGTAGCAAATGCCTCAAGAGAGCTTTAGATTATAAGGCCGAACCCGGCTCTCCCTTTTCCATTTAATGAAATTTATTCTGTCAGTACGGCACTTATAAAATAAATCTCCATAACAAATTTAAAATACTTCGAGAGATTTTCTATCCTTCCAGAGATATGTATTAAGAAGTTTTTAGTATGTATGGGAGGCGACATG